TACCCCACCCCAACACCACCCCACCCACCCCACCCACACCCCACCCCACCCACACCCCACCCCACCCACACCACCCACACCCCACACACCACCACCACACACACACCACACACACCCCACACCACCACCACACCCCCCACACCCCACACCACCCACACCCCACCCACACCCCACACCACCCACACCCCACACCACCCCATACCCCACCCCACCACCCACACCCCACCCACACACCCCCACCCCACACCACCCACACCCACACCCCACCCACACCCCACCCCACACCCCACCACCACCCACACCCCACCCACACCCCACCCACACCCCACACCACCCACACCCCACACACACCACCCATACCCCACCCCACCACCCACACCCCACCCACCCCACCCACACCCCACCCCACCCACACCACCCACCCACACCCCACCCACACCCCACCCACACCCCGTCACACACACCCCACCCACACCCCACCCACACCCCACACCACCCCACACCCACCCACACCCCACCCTACACCCCACACCACCCACACCCCACACCACACCACCCATACCCCACCCCACCACCCACACCCCACCCACCCCACCCCACCCCACCACCACCACCCACACCCACCCCACCCACCACCCCCACCCCACACCCCACACCACCCACACCCCACACCACACCACCCCATACCCACCCCACCACCCACACCCACACACCACCCACACCCCACCACACCCACACCACCACCCCACCACACCCACACCACCACCATATACCACCGCACACCACCACCACCCCACACCAAGCCAAATTCCACTCCGACTCAGCTATTCCGTCTCCCGCCGCCCTATCTGACCGGATTTCATCGATGTTAATGGGTTATGTGTTTTCTTTTTAATTTCTTACCCCCGTGCAGATTAGACCCAATAAGAGTAACACCAGAACAAATCTCCTAGATGGTTCGCCTGTGTTGAAGCTCACCTCAGAAAGCGTGGCTCAAGACGAGGAGTTATTTTTGCCGGGATCAGTGCTACACTCCCTGCCACCTTTAAGGAGACCAAATGGAACGTTGCTGCACAATGGATTTAATGATGGTATGGAGAAACTTATTTTGAATAGTGAATGGAAGATATTACATGGCTGGCAATCTTGCCTTCTGTTGCACAAGGGTGAAAGGGTTATCCAGACCCTCTTCTGATATCAAATCCTGTGCCAGTCTACACCTGCAGCAAGGAGTTTGGGAGGTGGGAGTCTTTGAGTCAGCCAGCTCCCGAAATTCATTAAACCGCTTTGACTCAAAACTGTTTGCACATCCCGCAAGGCCACTTGAGTAGGCAGTTGAATACTGGAGCAACGCGGTTAGCAAGCACCAACCTTGCTACACCGGCTCAAGGTTGATGTGTCAACACGGGAAGCAATAGAGGAAATCGCTGGGTACACTCATGCGGGTCAGGCAGCATCTGTGGAGAAAGGAAAGTGAGTCAACTTTTCGGGTCCACGACCTTTCGTCAGAACTGACAAAGGGTCGTGGACCCAAAGCGTTGACTCACTTTCCTTTCTCCATAGATGTTGCCTGACCCGCTGAGTGTTGTTGTTATTGTTTTTGAGTGCTCCCAGCGACTTCTCTTTTTGTTTCACATTTCCAGCATCTGCAGTATTTTGCATTTTGCTTATATAGAAAGCAATAGGTTCCACACCTTTCCTCTTCCATAGCAGCATGCATTTATGATTCCTTGTCTCAGATCAGATTAAAAGATCCAGTTGGAATTGAGCAGGTGGAGGTTGAGTAAACATGATTTTTAACAACGCCAAATAAAGAAATGCCTGCGGGTGTATAGTTCTGCTTTTGAGCGTAGGACGAAAGGGAAATATCATTGAGTGCCAGCCAGCAGTATGAGCACGTCCAGGTCAGCATTTAATGGCATTTTCTTGTTTCCATAAAAATAAGAGACATAAAATAAATGTGATTGGGTTAACAGAATGATGTAATGCTTTATCTGAATCTGTACAAACCTATGTTTGCCAAACAATTTTGAAAGTAAGATATAGCATAAGTAAGGTATACTGCAGTTGTTTTAAGCATTAGTTTTGTTTGACGGAAATAGATTAGTGATTAAAATGGGAGATTAGTTTACATGCTTAGTAAATTGGCCAAAAAACATTACTGAGGTGAGACCAAGGTCTTGATTGTATCTTATATCAGGGTACTCTGTGTGCACATTTCATTGTATCCTCACTAAGCCAGTCAGGAACCTGGGTGTCTTGTTTGACCCTGAACTGTCCTTTCTCATCCACATCCGCGCCATGACCGCACTGCCTACTATCACCTCCGCAACATTGCCAGACTTCAACACTGCCTCACCCCTCAGGCTGCCGAAACCCTCACCCACGCGATCGTCACATCAAGGCTCGATTATGGAAACTCCCTCCTCATCGGCCTTCCCAACTCTTCCCTTCACAAGCTGCAAATCATCCAAAACTCTGCAGCTTGTGTACTCTCATGCACCGGCTCCGTGACCCCATCACTCCCACCCTCGCCCGACTCCACTGGCTCCCCATCCCCCAGAGGATCGAGTTCAAGATCCTCGTCCTCACTTTCAAGCCATCCATGGTCTTGCCCTCTCCTACCTCTCTGACCTGCTGACTCGCTACCAACCTGCCCGCTCCCTCTGTTCATCAGGCTCCGGCCTGCTCCTTGTCTTCTGCCCGACCTGCCCTACCATCTGTGGCCGGGCTTTCAGCCTCTCTGCCCCCACACTGTGGAACTCCATCCCACAGTCCCTTCGCCTCGCTTCCTCCCTTGCCTCCTTCAAGGCCGGTCTCAAGACCCTCCTCGTCGATCGTGCCTTCGGTCGCCCTCTCACCTCTCTGCCTTCCCTCATCCTTACCCCCCTCCCCCATGCTCGGGTCCTGACCCCTGACTGTCCAGCACCTTGGGACGTCTTCCCAACATGAAAGGCTCTCTATAAATATTGTTGTTGTATTCTATTATTAAGTTTGTGATGCAATAATAAGTTCCATTCTTTTGCTTGATGGCTTTGGTCCGTAATAGAAGATGCATATTGGGTCTGTGTGCGGTGCTGGGCCCTAAAAGCCCTTGTAGCCATGCTACCGAAAAAGAGCACCCAGTTTTTGTTAAGGAAGCAATTAATATTTTTTGCAACAATCTAATATGTGTTATTTCCTCAGGTTTCATTTTTATCAATGAAGTGAAAAAATGTAGGTTGGCAGTAAAATGCACTTCAATAGGACCAATGAACTCCCTGTCATTTTCTGCAAAATCTGCCCCAAACCCCCACAATTCTCTGCAAAATTTGTGCACCCCTCTGCGATTTTTGGCAAATTTTGGCACTTTTCTATCCAGGCTATCATACCTGCAAGTGTTTCACAATAAACTTTGATATTGATCATATTTATTGCTCCTGAATATACCTGACTTGAAGCATTGGCCAGTTTTCTTTGAATTGGCAGTAAAATGCTGAGTTCGGCACAGTGGAAAATCCAAAGATCCTTTCAGTTAGCACAAAAAACAAACAGGACGCTGGGCTCTTTTGCCAAATCAGTTGAGTTCAAGTCTCCGAAATTCATACACAGGTGTATACACAGTCTGATTCAATACCAAGAAGGCATCAGACTGTAAAAAAAAGGCATCAGAATGGCAAAGAAAAACTTTGAATTGAATATGGCAAGAGAAACAAAGGATAATAACAAAACGTTTTTCAGTTACATTAAGAGTAAAAGAAAACCAAGCAATCGAATAGGTTCATTGAAGGTGGGTTCGGGAGAGGACATGAAAAATAATGCTACACAGGCTGTAATAGTGCTCAATAGGTTTTTTTTTACTAAGAAGGAGATCGGCAACCTGTCTGATCTGGAAAGAGAACTCAAAGGTATTGAAGAAGAAAGTTGCGACACTATTCATATCACTGTTAGCATGGTTTCCAAACAGCTGTGCAAACTTAAGGTAAATAAATCTTAGAGGCCGGATAAATTGCATCCGAGGATCTTTAAGGAACAAAGTTGCAGAAACACTGGCACAAATCTTTCAGAAATCATCAAATATTGGAGAAGTGCCGGGGAACTGGAGAAAGGCGGATGTTTCTCCTATTTATAAGAAAGGTAACAAAAGTGACCCAGGAAATTAGAGACCATTAAGTTTGACGTCCATCGTGGGTAAAGTTATGGAGATTCTTATCAAGGATAAAATCATTGAGCACTTGGACAGAAATAAAATCATATATGATAGCCAATGTAGGTTCAATCTAATTTGCTGGTTTTCTTTGATGGTGTGATAAGAACATAAGAAATAGCAGCAGGAGTAGGCCATTCGGCCCCTCAAGCCTGCCCCGCCATTTAATAAAATCATGGCTGATCTTCTAACCTAATTCCATTTACCCGCCCTCCCTTGATGCGTCGCAGCTATCAAGCTACCGGCCCATCTCCAACCTCCCCTTCCTGTCCAAGGTCCTGGAACGAGTTGTCGCCTCCCAGCTGCGCTCTTTCCTCTCCAACCATTCACTATTCGAACCCCTTCAGTCGGGTTTCCGTGCTGCCCATAACACAGAAACTGCCCTGGTCAAGGTCACCAATGACATCCTGACCATCTGTGACCAGGGCTCCCTCTGCCTCCTCGTCCTCCTCGACCTATCGGCAGCATTCGATACGGTCGACCACGCTATCCTCCTCCACCGCCTGTCCTCCCACCTCAACCTTCAAGGCCCTGTCCTTGAGTGGTTTAGGTCGTACCTCTACCAACATCTCCACTTTGTCTCCACAAATGGTTTTTCCTCCGGCCCCCGCACTGTCTCGTGCGGTGTCCCTCAGGGCTCTGTCCTCGGTCCCCTCCTCTTCACCATCTATATGCTCCCCCTTGGTGACATCATCCGCAGACATGGGGTTAACTTCCACATGTATGCGGATGACACCCAACTCTACCTTTCCTCCTCTACCCTCAACTCCACGACCCCCGATGTCCTGACAGCCTGTCTGTCCGACATCGAGTCCTGGACGAGAGACAACTTTCTTCAGCTCAACGTGCGCAAAACTGAGGCCCTCCTGATTGGCTCACATCAGCGCCTCCGCACCTCAGGCGCTGACAGCATCAGCATCCAAGGCTGCACTCTCCACCTCTCAAAGCCATCAGGAACCTCGGGGTTCTGTTCGACCCTGAGCTGTCCTTTCTCCCTCATATCCGCGCCACAACTGGCACCGCCTTCCATCACCTCCGGAATGTCGCCAGACATTACCTCACCCCTCACGCTGCTGAAACTCTGGTCCACGCCTTTATCACCTCAAGGCTGGACTATGGGAACTCTCTCCTCGCCGGCCTTCCCGGCACCTCCCTCCACAAGCTGCAGGTCATTCAGAACTCTGCAGCTCGTGTACTGTCCCGCACCAGGCTTCGGGACTACATCACTCCCACCCTCGCTCACCTCCACTGGCTCCCCATCCCCCAGAGGATCGAATTCAAGATTCTCATCCTCACCTACAAGGCCATTCACGGCCTTGCTCCCTCCTACCTCTCCGACCTACTATCCCCCAATTTACCTGCCCGTACCCTCCGTTCCTCTGGCTCCGGGCTGCTCCACACCCCCGGCCCCAACCGCCCTACCATCGGTGGCCGGGCCTTCAGCCTCTCAGCCCCGAGGCTCTGGAACTCTATCCCCCAGTGCCTTCGCCGCCTCCTCCCTTTCCTCCTTCAAGGCCGGTCTCAAGACCTTTCTCTTTGACCGTGCCTTCAGCTCCCCTCTCGACTCTCTACCCCCTCCTCGCTCCCTCCCTTCCCTCCCCTCACCCTGACCATTTCCCCCCAATGCTCGGGTCCTGACCCAACTGTACAGCGCCTTGGGACGTCCTCCCGACGTGAAAGGCGCTCTATAAATGAAATCTTGTTGTTGTTGTTGTTGTATCCCCATATCCCTTAATCCCTTTAGTTTTTAAAAATCTATCAATCTCAGTCTTGAGAATTCCATAAATTCACTACCCTCTGAGTGAAGAAATGTTTTCTCGACTCAGTTCTAAAGGACTGACCTTGGGAGCCAGTGAAACCTGGCACGGACTGGTGTGATTGGGGTATGGAGTTTCGTGTGGGTGA